CTCTCTCTCTCTCTCTCTCTCTCTCTCATATTAACTATTAACACATTTTCATTGCTTTGGTAGCCCAAGACAGTAGAAGATAGCAGTGATGCTAGTAAATGGTGGCCAACAGCAAAGAAACTTATCTCAAGTTTTTCCTTCCTGAGGGATATGCATTCTTATGAACTGGTAAGGTTTTAGATGTTGACGTACATTTTTTTCTCAAAACTTTGGCAACTTTGTTTATGATAATACCAGGTTGGATAATTTATAAGAAAAAGAAATCAGTTGTGATGCATTTCAATATAATTTAATGTATGTATTCCCAAGACTCCAGTGTTTTTAAAAAATATATATTTGAATAATGCACCTCATTTTGTGAAAATATTTTATTTTAGGACACTGTTACAGAAGAGCAAATGGCAGAAATTGAGGCGTATATCAATGATGAAAGATTCACTGAATCAAAGGTAGGAGTTTGGTTAATTTATCAAAAATTTTCTTGATATTGTGAAATCCAAATATTATTTTTATTAGACAGCATTTGGTTCTCCTTGGAAATTTTAGTTGAATAAAAGAGAACACTAAAATGCAAATTGTTTGAATAAAAACCACTGAGATGCTTTTTCATTATTTGAATCATTTTTACTCTTATCTAAAAAGATAAAGGAAGTAGAAAATAAAAGTTATTGGTTCTTTTAGTAGTTTTTATAAAAAATATTTGATTGTTTTTGTTTTCCAGATCGCTGTAGTATCAAATGCAGGTGTAGCTTTTCATGTGTGGGTGCATGCTGTATATGCCTATGGGAAGATAAAATATGCAACATCTAAAGAATCCAATGTGTCGAACATCATAGAATATGGACAGGTATTGCACTTTAAACTCATTTTAATCACCTGTTATGGATGTGCTCATTACCATACTACAGCACACACAATTATGTATACAAACACCTGAAAATTAAATAAGACAGGAGGTGTACTGTAGCATGGAGGAATGTGTGCATTCGTTCACACATGCACACAGGCACACACACACACACACACACACACACACACACACACACACACACACACACACACACACACACACACACACACACGCATGCATGCACGCACACACACGCACACACACACAAATATCTATTGTGTAAACAAATCCTTTTCTTTCTGTAATTAATTTAATAGACTTTGATATAGGCTTGGGACCATCTGATAGTACCTTATTTATCCTTCATATCTTTCTTTGTAATAAACTATATAGCCATGTGTCAAACTAAACTTTATTTTTTTATATAAATTGTGTAGGAATCATGGGGTCAAAAATGGAAAACTTGATAAAATTTTTAAACTTTTATACATAAAATTAATGGTTGCTGACACCACCCCTTACATGCATATGGTTATGTCATTTTAAAGTATTTGTTAATGTCACTCTATTTCAGGGTGCAGCATTTTTGCTGTCAAGACTATCAGCATTATGCTCAAATGCTGTTGGAATGAATTTTGAGCAAAGTTTAGAGTTCTCTGGACCATTTATGGATATTTCAAAGGCCTTCCCAAACCACAGAATATGCTCACTGGACAAACTGGTGTCAGAGTTGAAGGAGAAACCATTTGGTGCTAATCTGGCAGCTTATGCTCAGGCACTCAGCAGGCTTGACAGAATGGTAAGTAACCATTTAAATGAGAAAACTTAACTGGTATTTTGATATTTTGGCAAATGAGATCCAGTGCAAATAAACTGTTGTCAAGTAGTGAATTGAAGTGTATTTTATTAGAATACTACTGGGTATGATATCTGTTTATACTGAGTAAATGGTAGCAATCAGTAGATGGATGGATGGATGTACATGTATATGGTTAACAGAAAAATCACTCTCATTACAAACTAGTTTAAAATAAGTTTATATCAGATTTTTGAATTTGTTTTTTCTGTAATACTCTCTTAAATTATAGTATTACACTCTTAAATTGTATTTATAAATATATTTTGTTTTCCCTTCTTTTTTCATTTTTTTAGGGCAAAGTAGTTTTTCTGAAAGACACACCTGAACAATATGTTGTGACTGACATCCAGTGGTTTCTGAACCTTAGTGCACAATTGTACAAAATCGAGGGCTTTAAGAATTTAGGACGCGTCAAATCTTTGTCATCAGAAGAAAGCCTTTTGAGCATGGCTGATCTGCGAAATGTAATTGGAGAACTTGCAACTGATGAAGAGGTTGGTTATTTTCATTTGATAAATTGAAGTAATATTCAGTAATTGGAATGGAAATAGAAGAAACATGGAAATACATAGAGATGCATGTAGTAAAGAAAAGAAAGGGATTTTACATTATAAGAAAAGAGGGGGAGGACTGAAAGTAAAAACAAGGTGTATGACTTAAAATTCTGAATGGTTAATAAAAGTTCTTATTTACATTTGTTCAAATTATCATATCAGTAAGAAGTATTTTTGCCTGATAGAATATGTCCTAAAGGAGATTAGAATGTCACATTTCTATCTGATAAAGACATTGCACTTGGAACATTTTCTAGTAAACATAATTTACAGTACAATTCATATTTTTTTCCATAGTTCTCTCATTGGATGAGCATTATGTTCCATGATGGAGGCATGCTTAAAATTCCATATTGTCGTCTGCATCCAGAAGACCCTCCATTCCTCCTGGCATTATTTGTGCAACTGCAGCCAAAACCATACTTGTACCTTGATGGTGCATCTAAAGATAGACTTTCAGAAAAATATTTTCATGTAAATATGTGTGCATTGTAACAGCAAACACAACTAGCATAACTTACAGTAATATCTTTATGATATATCTGTCTGATAAATGTTTTAATTTCTTACATGCATAGTTGACAATATTGCATCCATATTAAGATTTAAAAATTAACACACCTCTTGTTTCCTATGTGCTTTCCTATAGTCACCAGCTTTTCTGTATTTTACTCAACAGCAGGAGGCATGTAAATATGTTAATCTTATTGCATTCAGCAAAAATCCCCATGGAGTTAGTGTAAAACTAGCGAGATTAGTATGAACAATTAATTGTGAATGCACTTTTAAAGTATGTTACATGAAAAATATCCTTTTTTTTTTCAGGAAAACTATTTTCCTCACTTGAATTCCAAGGATTACAATCCAGATGACCTGAGAGTGAGCTTGAGTTACAGGTTTACAAATGGCTACTCGGGTTCCTTGCTCGGCAGAATTATCTCTGACTGCTTGTTGCTAGGTGATGTGATGTATATCTGGTCCACTGGTGTCTTGTGCAGAAAAGGAGCAATGGAAATCCTCATAAAGAGGAATGTGCATGCTGGTAAGAAGATGAGATTAATCATACTGAAAAAATCTTCATTTTGTATTGAGACCTGTAGAATATACCTTTGTGTAATGGCTGTTTTGAGCAGCATCTCTGCCATCTTGATCACGAAATGAAACTTTCTTTTTGTATTAGTACATAAGACCTAATGAGGTAATTAGGTCTTTTTAGGATTCATTTGAAAAAATTATCTCTTATTGTGAAATTAAAATTTGGCAGCTATCCTGCTGATACTGACAATTTATGAATACTTAGTACATGGTTTCTTAATTGTATCCTAAAGAAACCATACAACATTGGTACTCCTTGGGAGTTATAGTATAAGTTTGGTAGCATGCACATCAGTATTGATTTTTGACAAAAAATTTGCTATGGATATCTTGTAGTCATGGTAACCAATCAATTTGACATCGAAGCCAGATGCACGTGTCCACCTGGTGGGCAGAAGAACATAGTGTTAGACTACATCTGGGCTACTCTCAGCACATACTTACTGATTGTGGATTATCATATTAGCAGGCACCCAAGTCTACATGTTAAGGTAATCATGTTTGAAAATGAAAATGCAACTGTTTTTTTTATAACATATTTTATTCCAATTTAAAAAAGATATTGTTAGGTATATGATTTTTTCCAGTGGGATCTAAAATTGAAATATAACTTTCCCTTGTCTTTTAATTAAATTTGAATTAAAAAAAAAATAATCAAAGCAACTTGCTAAACAAACCTAATTTCCAAAATAAATTTATTCATAAAAAATTGTGACAAATTGCCAATGGTTTTGTCATTTGATAGCAATAAATTATCTAGGACTAATTTGGTGTTAAAGGTGTAAATAAGGTGTTAAAGAGGTGTATTAAGTTTGGTTTTCTATGTTAATATAAGAGACATAAAGTTCTCAACCTAATTTTCATTTCCCCTTTACCATCCATGATCAGTGTAGAGTGCAATTTGGTAAACACTTTTGGTATTTGTTTTATTTCTCACTTGAGATGGATTTTTAACAGAGTTTTGTATGTTTTAGTTTTCAATTGTGCTTAATTTCTCTCTTTTGGTGAAAATTTGACTAAGCTCCATGTGTGTTTGTGTTTTTCAGATCACCATTCCCTGCCAGGGTAAATGTGCCTCGGAGGCAACACCACACTTATTCTCTCCAACAGAGTTTCCCAAAAGTCTGCAGACATCACACTTTCCAGTCTGTCCTAATCAGATCTGTGGAACCACATGTGAACTGAAACTCATGCACAGTACGTACTGTTTATGATTAAAAATTAACCAAGACTTTCTAGTACCTGTCAGTTGGAGTTTGAGATAGTTAAATCCCCATTCACAGGAAACACAAGAGTTGGGGTTGGACTGATGAATACTTTATTTTATTACAGTGTGAGAATTATTGAAACTTTGTCATAGAAGGCCTACATTCCCAACTTTCCATTGTGGGCTAGATACTGAAAAAAAAACAGTCTACTTAAGTTGATATGTTGTTTGATATGGAATCAGAAAGAGAATAAAACAAGATAACATAATAATTTTATGTTTGAAATGTAGGGAACCTGGACATAAAACGACGACAGTAGTGTTTTAACCCCCTAAAACCTGATACTTTTATTCATCATTTCCATATTATCAGCCTTTTCTTCCCATGTGATTCCAGATTACCAACCCTTCCTTCTATATCATTCCAGATTACCAACCCTTCCTCCCATACCATGACTGGTGTGAGAGTTACGACCCCCCTCACAGCTGCTGCTGGTGTGACCACTGCCTCAGCAAGGGTGGCCAGTGTCCACAAAATCACATAGGGAGCACCTGGAGGTGCAACTGTGCTGCTATTGGCTGGAAATGTGCCAACTGTGGAATTTGTAGAAGATGTGTGGCCAAATTGTGGGTATGTCAGTTAGACACTCCACACATCCATGAATACTAGTATATATGTCACAGTATTTTTGTTCCTACGGTTAGATTAACTGGATTAATGTATAATTATATAGAAGAGATTAAATAGCACTATATGTATGAAATTTGTTATTTTCAGAAAATGCAGAGTAGTCTAAGCCCATCGTTCATGGCTCAGCACCAAGATGAGCAAGGCCAAAATTTTCAGGGGACATTGATAGATTTCAACCTACTGAGAAAGAAGAGGTATTTGAAATATAAAATGACACTAGTAAGAAATTGAGTGTCCCTGAAAAAGATAAAGACCCATGTCCTGTATTTAAAGGGATTGTTTTGTTATTGTCAGACGTGCATTTGATGAACATGTGATGAACAGAAAAAAATTCAAACTTTGATGAAGATGATAAGATGTGTTATTAAATGTAGTCTGTCATTGCTGCTGGAGTGAAGTATATGTTCTTGTTGTGACATTTTTTCTGCAGTAACTATAAAATTGAAAGATTTCAATTTTATTTGAATCTCAGCCACATAATCAATTTACATTTATACTTACATGAAACACTTCTAGAAGATAAGAGGACACACTATTTTATTTCAATGTTTGGGGTTTTTTTCAGCATGGCTTCTGAAGAACACTTTTCTATAAAACATCCAGGTGTTTTATCTCATGATTACCAGACATCCATTTATCTCACTGTGTTCAAACCAGGGTCAATGGTGTTGCAAGTGGTAGAGAAACAAAGGTACATAATGAATTTGATTTGTTTGGTGAAAATAAGAACATGCATTTATTTGTTGAACTGAAATGAATAGTTCCTCACTGAAATGTTTTTAAGAATTAAAAAATGGTAAAAACAAATGTATAAAATACAGATTCTCATATTTTCTTTGGTCCTGTAGCACTGATGTCATTGCAAGTGTCAGCCTTGAAGCTGGAGAAGTTTCCACAGGTGACAAGATAAAGCTACAGGTGACAGGTGAGCAGCTGGATGAAGACCAACAGGTAAGCAAAGTTTAAAAAACTATAAAGAGAAAACCTAGAGCTACAAACAGATAATGCTGTTCAGTAAGAGGTTGTTTTTATGTTGGTCTTTCAATAATGTCCAACAAAAACAGTTGTTGCCTATATTACAGACAAATAAAAAAATGTTTATACTTAAATCAATAGAAAGAGTCAGTTTGAACAACTGTTTTTCCTCAATCAGAATGAGAATTTTATCAGCCATTGACAGTTTTTGTATTCATATACTTTAAGAGTTTCCAGCCTTATCTTGAAGTACTTGTGAATGATAGGAAGACATTCTCTGGTCTTATACCAAGTGGTTGTGGATTGAAATTTCAAGCCACAGAATCATCTTCCACAACAGATCTACCTGTAGTGACCTTGCACTGGCCAACTGTACCTGTAAGTTTGCCCTTGGCTCATATTTTTGAAATTTTACAACTCAGATTTTTTTTGCTTATTGCTGGGAGGTAGTGTCTTTTTATGTTAATCAATTTTTTTATGTATCATAATGCAAGTGACATTTGCTTGTTCCCACTTTCTAGCAAATAATCCACTCCTGTTGGACTGTTAAAAGCCTTAGATGGTGATGATGGAGATTTTTATGCCTTCCTTGGGAAGCAGAATGATTGAAAATGAACTTTAATTCCATTTAAAATGTCTAGTAAGATATTAAAATACTTTTTTTTTTCAGGTGGTGACTAGTCGCCACTTCTCTCCTGGTCAGCTGGTTATGTTCAAAACATCCATTGGTAGCCAATGGGCAGTGTCTGAGGTCCAGCAGGTGTCCGATGACCAGCTGGTAGCTGCAGATGGACTCACAGGAGAGATCAGTGCTGGACAAGTGAGTCCAGTTTTGACTCCAACTGGAGATGCAAATATCATTATATCAGAAACCAGAGGTAAGTGAAAAATTTTATTTCAATATTTTAAAGTGAAAGATAGAAAATGAACCTCATCACTTTAGAGATAAGTGATAGGTGCGTTTCCTGTCTTTGTACTCCTATAATATTGTATGGAATGCATAAAATTAAGGATGCTACTCTTCATATTTGATTGTTGAATTTTTTATTGGATAATATTAAAATTATTTAAGATTTTTATTGATCGAATTCATACAGCATATTGTTTTGAAACCTCTCGAATATTTCCATCATTCTTAATTTTTGTTTCTGGTGAGGTCATGCCATACCTAAAAAATCTTTGATTTTATGCACATGTATAATTTATTTTCAACCATTGTGTTACAGACATGGTACGAGATAGCAGGCAGCTGTACAAATATCTGGATAAACAAAAAGGCTTGCCAGCACCATTTGGCTTGTTCCCTAGAGTACAACAACAAGAGGTCTGTACAACAATTTTATACTTCTTTTTTTCAAGTATGTTTTTTTTTTTTTTTTGAGTAATTTTCTTTCAAATTATTTCCGATTGNGATTGATTAAACCAGAGACCTTTTTTTTCTGAAGTTGACAATTAGACTAAGTTATATTACATATGTTTTTATCTCTACACATTTAGCCACAGGTGTCAGCACTGTCCATTCACAAGCGATGGCTGCAGCTTGACATCCAGTCCTGGACTGAAGAGGGCGCCAGGTATTGCACAGTGAATCATTACCATCCAGCAGGTATAAGCATTGTGGTGTATTATTCATATTTAACAAATATTGGATTCTTTTGATTTCATTTATGTAACATTATTTTGTTATGATTGTCTGAATATTAATTTTCAAAGGTAAAAAAAATGCATTATTGGGAAGAGTTTTTGACCTTAGAAATTAAGGAATACATGAAGGAAATGCATACTGGGTGCAAGAATGCACAATGAGATATAGACTGACTAACAGACAAAACAATGATAAAAACAATGATAAACTTGTGAATACTAAAAAATTATATTTATCCATTTTTTATTGTTTCATTTATTAATCCTCAGTATTGGAGCAGTGTTTAAACTACAGACTTCAACACCCCAATGTTCTGGACACTGGCTACAGTATTGTCCTGCTCCCTGCTTATCAAAATGGCCTGATGAAGTGGACACAGCCAGCCAGACATGACATCCACAAAAATGACCACTATGCAGTGGACATCAGGTTTGGATACAGTAAGTAGTAATTTTTTATAATGGTTAATTAAAGTTTTTTTTTGTTCTGTAAATTTGTTTAGTTAATTGATAACAACACAAAAGAAATAGATAACTTGATTTAATTTTTATTTATGCTCTGTGTTTGTTTAATTTTTTCTTGAATAACTTTATGACTATAAATTAATGTAATATGTGATTCTCTTATTACTGCCATGGATTTTTTATGTCTTTCAGATAAAATCCTTGAGATCCATGAAAACCTGTTTCTTATACGTGCATTGAAGCACCAGAAACTGGACAGAAAGGAGTTTTTGCTGTTGTTTGAAAGTCACTTGTCTCAGTTGCTCTTCAATTATGATAAACTGTATAGATCGAGGGTAAGCTAGTTTTTAAGATGCATTCAAAGTTGAGTTACAAGTGAAAACAGTTTTAATTTGAAAAAGGGACAATCGAAAAATAAATTGTGTCTCCAAAATTAATCCCTTCTCTCTCTTTCTCTCTCTCTCTCTCTCTCTCTCTCACCACCACGACGACCACCACCAATGCCCAATCATTAAAATCTGGTGACTTACCTGTTAGAATACATGAACTTGCCTGTATACATATAATGTATCATCTAATATTGATTCTGTTCCAGCCTGTTATACAAAACAAACAGTGGTTGTTTCCAGAAGATGTACTTAAAGAAGAAAGCTTTAAGCCCTATGATTTACCTGACCCTGTGGTAAGTCATGTGACTGCATAACTTCTTTCAAATTTGTCCCAATAGCTGGATTCAAACTGCTATCTCTACATGTTAGAAAAATGCTTGAAAACAATATTTTTAATGTATCTCTTGTCACAGGGTTCATACAAGCTTGAAAAGTACTTGAATTTAGCTCTGCGATTTAAAGCCAGTTTGTGGTCTTGAAAAGTACTTGAATTAATTGGCACAATCCGTGTATCAATGTATTTAAGTTTTTGAAATCTAACTGTCAGTGGTCTTTTTCTTGTATAGTTCAGAGAAGGGTTGGATAGTATTGTCAGTGTGTATAGGGCAACAGGGCTTCTGTTAGCTGCAATAAATGCCAAAACTGCAGATCTCTTTGAGAGCCGAAAGCTTGACAATGGCAAACCTGTGGTAAGTTGCAGCCATTTTTACACAAGGAAAAATATACTCACATAGTTTGAAATAAAACTTAGACCCCATTCCCACAGATTTTAGATCGATCTATCCCTGTGGGGAGTCTCACTAGATTACTGTCAGCTTAGCCGGCTTAAGTGTCTGTCCCACCTACTAAAAGCTGAAAGCTGAAAGGGGGTAATTAACTCTAGTGCGTGCTCGGCTGACAGCTATTTAACGTGAACCCCCAGGGAGTTATGTCGATCTAGTTGGATCGATCTAAATCTCTGGGAATGCGCTCTTAGTTAAGGTTGGATCTCTATATTTGTTTAAAACAATGTCCTTTTTTTGCATTCACTATCATGTCATTGTGCACTTTTCAAATCAGTTCATATCAAATACAGTTCAACACTGACTGACCAAATTAATTATCTAGTAGACACTTTTTTTTATCATTTTAGGTCAACCCAGATGTCATCCAGTTAGACAACTCTCTCCAGAATGCCTTGACCAAAATACCTGATTACAGGACTCTGGACATTGACTTTGAGTCTGACAGTGTGGCAGTAACTGATCTTCAACATCTACAAGTATCTAGCAGTGGGCTGAAGATACCAGATGAACAACTGCCCTTTAAGTGTGGTTCTCTGATCACACTCACCTTGAAAATGACAACGTCTGATGGTCATGCCCTTCCTGAAAGTTTTGTACAATTGAAGGACTCATTGCGGACCTTGAAGTTGACAGACAATCCACTGGAGAAGTTTCCAGGGTTCCTTACTCAGTTTACCAGTCTCTCTGTGCTGGTCCTGGCAAATACCCTGATACAAGAGGTTCCAGATGATATTGGAAATCTTTTGAATCTCACAAAACTTGACCTAACCCATACATTGGTTAGCAACCTTCCTCCAAGTTTTGCTAAACTGAAGGTGGGTGTGAATTATAAAGTATTTTAATGTATTATAATAACTGATTCATTCTTTTAACTCTTTGATGGAGAACAAACAGATAAAGCTACGTTCAGATGAACAACATAAACACTTATCCTACATGTTGTGTGTTTTAGCATGTCTTCATGATCTAACCTCAGTTAATTATTTTCTCCCAAATATGTTGAAAATATGTATACATTCATTTAACATGCACACTTTTACTGGGTGTCAATACAAGTACATGTGTATCAATAAAATATTTCAGAATCTGCGTCAGTTGCATATCAAGGGAATAAAACTTCCCTTCAAAGACCCGCTCCATTGCACTGCTTTCCTGGAGCATGATGTGCAGGCATACAGTATCAAAGATAAGGTAAGTTAACATGAGAGTTGGTAATTGGTTGAATATAATGTGTTTGAGACAATTATTAATCATTCAGCTTACAAACATACACACACATACATACACACAAAGATTTTTCGCTTCCATTTTTGGACTGACAAATAATATCTGTCAGTAGATGCAATTACTATGGCAATGTTTCAAACTCTTTGTGGCTGTTCATTGACTTAAATTGCGAGTTAAATTCATAAGTGGGTATTCAGTGATATTTATCTTCTTATTCTAGTTTGATCAGCTGTCCAGACTGGTGAAGCAGTATGATGCTAACAACAAGGGGGTTCTCACAGGTCAAACTTTGGCTGATTTCAGAAAAGAAGCATTCAGTGTGTTCCCAAGATTTAAACCAGGTAAACTAGCTGGCATTACACATGTAAATCTTGCAAAGTCCAGAAATTATTGTTTACTACGTTACCTAATGAATATATTTCAATCTGTCATAGTATCATGGGGTTCAAAATAACCTCCCTTTTTGCGGGGAAAAGGTCCTCTCTGGGTAATATATTGTCTAGGTAAACAAAGGTTTCATGGCAAAAAGTCCACTTTCTCAGAAAAATAACCCCCTTTTAATATTGCTGGCTATGGACCTGATGCTTGAGCGGTTTGAAATTTCAATTAGTAGATACATAGAGCTATATCTCACTAAACATAACCTGTTTGTATTCATAACCAGGGCCTGGGTGTGAGGGGGGCTTCCCAGAGGTTCTGTTCCACTGTACCAAGCTTCGTTCCCTGAGTTTCTGTCGCACAGCCATCCAGTTTCTACCTGATGGTATTGAGAGGTTATCTCACTTGGAAGAGCTGAACTTGGACCACAACCCTTACCTGGAGTCTCTGAGCCCCAAAGTGGGAAAACTACCCTTGCAGAGTAAGTGCATGCTATTGATTATAAATGTTTTAGAGTAGTATACAGTGTTCATATTGGTGAACTTGGCATTAAGTTGTTTTGGCTTGGTCAGCAAGGTCTGTATATGTGTTTTTGTGTGTGTGTGTTTTATAGAGTACCATTTTGTAAAATTGTTTTTTAGAAAACATGCAATTGGATGGTTTTTGCTTTTGATGTTTAAAAATATTATTAAACAGTTTTCAAAATAATTTTGCAGTTAATTGCATGTTAAGCTCTTGGTATTACTTATTATTGATTTATAATTCAAACTTACATTTTCTAATGGTGAAATATTTGTTGTTAGAATTGATGCTGGAAAGCTGCCCGCGTCTCTCCACACCACCACCAGAAATAATCCATCGTGGAGCAGCACAGACCATTGCCTACATGAAAAGACTTCAGATGGGTTCCATGAAATACAACAAAACCAAGTTGATGTTTGTGGGGCTGGGTGGGGCTGGAAAAACAAGGTAATAGTGGACGGAGAACCCATTGTACTTTAGGCTTTAACAATATCTTGGTAATTACATTAGATACTGGGAATCTTCTGTGTCATACAGAATACCGCCAGTTTTTAAAAAGACATCTTAAATTTGTTAATAATGAAGGTGTGTTTGTACTGCATGTTTGAACTTTCTTTAATTTATACCTCAATCACTTAGAACAATATCATTTTTATTTAATAGTTAAAATAGTAAACATCTTGTCACATTTTCCAGCCTGATGCGTTCATTGATGAGCAATGACTTCAAATCTAGCCAAATCGAAGGTGAAGCCATTACTGACGGCATAGACATCAACATGTGGACAGTCAAGCATGGAGACCAGGAACCCATCACATACAGTGTGTGGGACTTTGCTGGCCAGACACTTTACTACAACACCCATCAGTTCTTCTTGTCAAAGAGAGCCATCTATGTTCTAGTGTGGAACACTAGGCTAGGTTATGAGCATGCAGGATTGGACTTTTGGCTCCATTCCATAGCCTGCCATGCACCCAAAGCTCCAGTGTTTATTGTTGGCACTCATGCTGATAAGGTATTTTAGCCATATAATTTAAAGTGAAATGATTTATAGAAGTTAAAGCTTACTCTTTCCACATAATCTGCTAGCATTTCTTAGCTCCTAAATTTTTATTAGAAAGTTGACAGTGACTTGTTATTTGTTGACTAGTTTTTCTTCTCATATCAAGCTTTTCAGAAAACTAATTTTGATATTATAAATTTCCATCACTTAGATTGCTAAGGCAGATATTCCATCAGAGAGCATCGAAAAGAAGTTTCCATCCATTGCTGGGTTTTACACTGTGAGTTCATTGACTGGCCAGGGCATCGATTCTCTCCTAGATGAAATCATTAATGTCACAATGAAGCAGTCTTACATAGGGAAGCAGTTTCCAATCCCTTGGATCAAATTCGAAACAGCCATAATGAAGCAAAGAGGCACCAAGAGTGTTCTTTTGTGGCAAGAGGTTCAAAACTTGGCAGAGGTAAATGGGATTAAATTATATATAAAGCGATAAAGAAGGAGCCTTGGGATAAAATACCATGAAAAAATTGTGTCTGAATACTTGACTTTTTGAGAAAATATTAAAACAAAGCAAAAAAAAATTGTCATTCTAGACCTACATTTATGGTACTGACTGACTGAAAAAATTGTAATTTTCGCAAAAAAAAAAAAAAGAATAAATAAATAAATAAAAATAAAAATAAAATAAAAAATAGCCCCCTCACATCTGAAATTGCCAACTTCAAGCCAGGTATGTAGCAGCCTGTCATGTATAGGACAGAAGACATATGACAGAGTGGCTATACATGTATTTCCAGATGCAAGGCATTCATGAGGCAGAAGAAGTCACACAGGCTGTTGGATTTCTGCATGACCTGGGCACACTGCATCACTTTGAGAATGAATTCTTAAGTGACAAAGTGGTGATTAACCCACAGTGGATTGTGGATGTCATGGCATGTATTGTGTCTGTACACAACTCGGTGATTAAGGTAAGACAGGCATGACCGATTGTGCACCCAACACTGTTTTTCATTTAGACTGTCTTTAGGCTGTGGTGATAACTCACTAAATTGGAATCAAGTTGATTTAAGATAATTTCCTAAAACAATATTTTATTAAGCATTACTATTGATATATGAAGAAGATGATTCAGGGGATCTATAAGAGTATATCATATGAAAAGCATGCTTTTCAGCACAAAGTATAAAAAAAGATAGTGTGAGATCATGTTATATATTAAAATGAAAAATGATTTTTCTGTTCATTTACTGCAACTTCAATAAGGTAATGGTTTTGTTGCACTCAGAAGTACTCTCTGAACCTCTACTGATATACTACTATGACATAATTGAATAATTGAATAATACATTTTTTCTAAGGATGGTCGTCTGCAACACTCTGATATTGGAGTCATATGGAAGGACTATCCAGAAGACCTTCACCAGTGGCTACTGAAACTGACTGAAGTCTTCAACCTGACATTCCCATTGTCAGAAGAAGAGACCAGCATTGTTCCCTGTTTACTGCCTCAGAAACAACCCCAGGTAAAGATATGATACACAAAGTTTGCACAGATAAAATCCAAGCCATGTCATTTTTGTAAGACAGGCCAGTTTAAATAACAACAAAAATAATCCAACACTAGACCTAAATGTCATACTGAAGAAGACATAAGATTTTAGTATTTTACTGAACTCACTTAGAATTTGATTTAAAGGGAAAATTATCAACAGCCCTTTCCTTAATGGCAATATTGTACCACCTTTGTGAGCACTGGCAGTAGTCATGGTTTTACCCCCAACCCGTCTTGTCTGCCAGCTCCCATATACTCTTAAATTAGTATTTGAGAACCATGATATGGAAATTTGTCAATGCCACTCTGTTACTTCTCTTCAGATTGACTGGCCAGAGAAGATGGATAAAGATGAACGAGAGCTGAAGATCATTTATCAGTTTGATTACTTGCCCGCTGGACTGTTCAACAGAGTTCAAGTTCGTCTCTCAGAGTTCTCTGATACCTCTGCCATATGGAAGACAGGCTCCATCCTCCAGAAGAATGGCCACCTTGCACTTCTCTCCCAGCAGGACAACAACCAGGTTTTGGTGAAGGCTCAGGGAGTGCGGCCTGAGAACTTCCTGCTTTTAGTGCATGAAATATTTGAGAGCCTCATTGAAGAATCATTCCAGGGTGTTTCATATGAATACCTGCTGCCCTGTATGGATTGTCTGCGAAGCGATGCTAAGGACCCTACCCTGTTTTCATCCAACGTTCTTCATAGAGCTATTGACAAAAAAGCCCTGTTCCTGCAGTGCCACAATTTTTTCCACACCCTGTCCATAGCAGAAGTCCAAGCCAACATGCCGCCCGACTCCGATGACACCTTTGATCTCAACTTTCAAGACACTGTGAGAGACCTTAATAGTCTGCAGGACAAGCTTGGTTATGATGCCTGTTTCTTGTTCTGTAAGCAAGACCTGGAGAAGACAGATGGCTGTGATGCTGCACCAATTTGCGATATTGAGGCAAGATTAGTGAAAGCAGGATTCAAGTGTTGGCTGCCAAAAGCGACGCAGACTCCAGATGCAGAGCTTGTTGCTACTGAGATCCAAACATCCAAGGTGGCTTTGATATTTATTTCTTGTCAGTTTGTGAAAGATTCCGAGTGTCAGAGGTTATTTCAGTATGTCAACGACAGCCTTAAGAAACCCTTTATCTTGCTGATGGTTGATCCTAACAGAGATTGGCTGAAATCTGATATTGGTATGCAGGTGGCAGAGAAGGTCTACCTCAACTTCAGTCGCCCTTCCTTGTTTGAGGAAAGCATGAAGGAACTTGTCAGCAAATTACGTTTGAAAACAAAGAAGAAGAAGGGGGTTAGTGTGGCATCTGATTGCTTTATCAGTTATTGCTGGACCAATTCCGCATCAGCACTGAAAATGGGTCAAGTCTTTAGACCAAAAGAGGGCGCCATTGGGAATGGGGATCCACGTGAAATCAAGGAATTTCTGGAGAAGAATGGGATCAACTGTTGGCTGGATGTGGAGAGAGTTGGAGAAAATGGACTGTTTGAGGATATCGCTGAAGGTCTGAAGAACACCAAGGTTGTGGTTGCCTGCGTGTCTGATGAGTATGCCCTATCTGCCAACTGCCAAATGGAGTTCCGTTTTGCCCATGTAGCTTTAAGAAAACCCATCATCCTTGCTGTAGTTGGGACTGGTTTCCAGTGGGCTGCTACTGAAGTAAGCTTGATAGATGTTTATATAGATATATATGACAAGAACAAAAAAGGACAGATACAAGTTCATAAAAAATGTTCAAATGATATTTTTAAGAATATTTATATTGAGCATTGTACATGTAGTACAAGTGTCTTTGAATGTTTTTTGGGAAATTTTTGTACACACTGGATTTTTCAAAGTGTAATTTTGAATCAGCAGGTTTGACAGAAATATCACCATATGATAGGATCAGAAAACAAAAAAATCTAAACAACATCTGTTGCAATATCTATTCTCATCATCTCTCATTTAAGGTTGGCATGCTGTCCCTGGGATATCACAAGTTCAACTTCCAGGCACCCAGCGAGACATCACATGACCAGTTGTTGTCTGCCGTTAGAGAACAGATCCAGGCAACGAAGGCAGAGGAAGCAGTGAGCCACGTACCTACTTCATCCAAAACTTCCGCCAACCCAAGCTCTGCCTTCCAGGAATTGTATGAGCTGGCCCAGAGGAAGATACTGAGGCAGATCTCTGGTTATGTGGATGATGCATACCCAAGGCTGTTCCTCATTGACTTATGTGACAACCAAAGCGAAGGGCAGGTGAGGATGGGTATCTGTAGAATGACCATGCATTTAAGGGACCATTCACAATGAATTTTGTTTACCCAGCTAATGTGCACTAACTCCACAGGGACCTTTGCTGAATGCAAGTATTTTAATAAAACAGACTAACACGCCTCCTCTTGTTTCCAATGTGCACAATGGTAGATCTCTAAAAACACAGAATATTTTTAAATTTCTTTGTGGGTAAATACATACTTAAGTTTGATTTTATCATTTACTGTAAGTAAGGTAGCAGCTAAGTGTTTGTGGCAATTTTTTTTTTTCATAAAAAATACATTTGTCTAATTACGTCCATATATCCATCCATTTTCTCTAAACTCTAGAACCGACCAGAGTCTGACACAGAGGTGGCTGGCACTGATGAGTCTCCTAAAGAGGTGTTGAAACCTACCTCAGATAAAGTCCAGTACTGCCTGCGGCTCCTGTGTGAATACGAGGGCGGCTGGCACTGTGAAGGAAAACCAGTGGCAATTCCATTAGTGGGAGAATACCTAGACATGTTCTTCCCACTGACCTCGCCTTACTTGGCTAGGATTATGACAGTGATAAAACACAGCAGTATTGACCTGAATTGTTTCCATGGTGTCCAAGGAGAACACCTGTTGGACATGCTGGAAAAGGTAAGAAGCATAGGGGCAAGTTTTTAAAGGTCTAGAAGCATAAAGGTATTTTATTTTTTGGTGTTATTTCAAACACCTCAAGAAATAACTTAAAATTCAACTACAAAGAGTTGTATCAGGCCATTTTGTGGTCAATTATGATGCCTAATTTGTTTGTACTCTGGCAATGTTGAGGATATAGAAGAATCCTAAATATAACTGTTAGTTAGAGTATGATTGATGGTTGAGACTAACACAAGAAGGGCAACCAATCACCATACCAAACTTTTAAACATTTATACAAAATCTGCAAATTTTCTTTTTTTTTTTTTTTTCAATTTGAGACACTTGTAGTAAAGATTTGTACAAGTAAAGGGGATTAAATTAATAAGATTTATTGACTTTAAATTCAAGATTTAAATACTTGTAGATAAGCAGTACAATGCCTCAAAAAAGATAAAAGAATACAAAGGGGTAAATCACTGGGAGTATTAACAACAAATTATTTCATGTCCTATATCATTTGTAGAATGCTGGAGTTGTGGATGTAGAGAGTATGAAGCCAGTGTATATATACTTGAGACAATTCCTTATCAACAGCGATTTGGACAAAACTGCTGGAGGACTAAGAAGGTATGGCCAGTACAGTTTTTGTCAACATTATTATTACTGTGCAGTGGTTGAAGAGTAGGAAAATGTGGCTTGTAAGTGCCATTATTGTTTCTGTCATAATTAAATGGGTTCTCTCCAGCTCCTCTCCCATCATTCTCCCACAAGAGGATGTGAGCATATTTTTGAATGAATAAAATTATTATATAATGCTAACTGGAATATATCTCTGTATGTCATCTGAAATATTAATTTTACAATTTATTAAGTGCATTATTTGGGAAGTAGTATTAGATTATGAATGAATGGTTTAGGAACACATTGTTTATTTTTATGACAATTGGATAACTACTTCTGCTGCATATTTTGCCATTAGTATGGAATTAGATGAAGTGCAGGAATTACTCACTTTAAATAAATACCGTCAACTTGTTTTTTTTTCTCTATTACAGATGTCAGCAGGCCAGTGGAAAGATAGTGTGGCTGTGTCCAGAGCACCAGGAACTGCCACGTGTGAGTGTTCTCCATTACGACACGTCTGACTTCCCACTGCAGACCCCCCACTCCTTGCTTCATTACCTCAAGCTGCTCTCCACCCAACACATGCTGAAAACTAGTAGTGAAGAAGCAGGGTTAAAACCAGGTGAGTGAAATTGTTTTTTGATGAATTTTTTTCTGTGCATAACCATCAATAGTAAGTTATAAATAGTAAGTTAATTCTAAAGATGGATCAATATCAATCTTTAAGTATAAATCCAAAATTGTTGACTGGCAAAAAAGTAGATTTTCCTTCTTTCCCAACTGCTCTGTAACAATGTATCAGTACTTTTTACCCTGCTTTCAACATGCGTTTTGCTCATTTATTTATCTTTTGTAATTGTTCTTACCATTCTGCACAGCATAACACAGAAACACAGCCTGTCCACTTGACTCATCACATTGGTACAGTACCCTTGTAGTTGTATTTTTCCCATTCAATTCACTATTTCAGATAAAACAAATTCTCCAAGAAGCAAAACCCAAATAAGCCAGAGTGGAACCTCATTGGTTGGTCACAACCCCCAGCATCAGCCACTGTCTGTGGCAGAGCCAGCTCAACTGGATCCTGTACCCAATCATGTACCAAGCCCTGTACCCCATCCTGTATCCAATGATGTATCCCATCCTGCAGCTGAGACCGAAGAACCAGCGAACATCTCCCAGATCGGAAACAACCCTCCAGATGTCCATACCTCTGCCCAAGGTGATACACTTCCTCATGGTGATGCAGAGATCACAGAGCCCAGGAACACCCTAAACATGTATAGGAACGCCAAGGCTGCCAAAGACTTTGAGAAACTGCGTAAAGAAGTGGCTGCAGTTAGCCAGTTTTCCAAAGGAAGTCAAGCTTGTACCATCATTTAAAATCACAGCACAGAAAAGTTTCCTTAAAATGTTCATCAGTGTTTCATGTAACCATTCACAGAAAAAAATACAAAAAGTTCTCTGTGAAAGTGACATTTATTGCGTAAATTTTAATATAAGTGCGATTGCCATATAAAAGCCATACTATTTAAGCTGTGTCAACACAGGCTCAGGTATAGCAAACAAGATTTGGGTTATTTTTACAGCATCAGTTCTAAAAAATTGTGCATGGCAACTCACCTAAGTTCCGAGTGTGAATACACTGTACCTGTATTGATAGGAAAATATTTCAACTGGATTTTTAAAATATTTATCCTTAACTCTTGATGTTATCAGAAATGTGATAGTAATATACTATGCAAACATTATTTTAGTTTTTACAAGTTTTGTTGAGTTTTATATCTGTCCATACAATAAGCAGAGGTGCAATGTTTATCTAAGTCAGCCTTATGTCTATTGTTAGCAATAATATGTCCATAGTATATGTATTTAAGTGATATTTGTTTTTCTAATTCCCTATTTCTAGCCTACTTTTCTTTATGTATATAAATATATATTTCTTGTGATACACTACTGTTATTTGTATTGCAGCAGATTATGTGAGGTTGCATCTATACATTTTTTGGAAAGATGTTTGAATTAAATGCACATAATCTAGATTTGTTATCTTTATATATTACTACACATATACTGTTGTGGTGAATCTGTGGAAAATATATACATTATATACATTTGAGTCACAGTTTTAGACATTTATTCTACAAAGGTATTCATGGAATTATTTTCTTGAAAGTAACAGTCAAAATCGACGTTTACTGTGACTGCTGTCCGTCCAAGATATTATTTTTATTTAGACTATTCACATTATATATTTGAATATCTGTGATGTTGCGCATATATTTTGTAGTGAATAAAATTTTATCAGAGACTAAAAGGAATTTCTCTTGTTGCTTTCAGGACAGTCTAAATTGTTAAGATTTTTCTGACTAACCCATTATCAGAATGGCTATTATTAACCCGAGTCTAGTAATAAAAATAATTGAAAGAAAATGTTAACACTTATAACTGTTAACACTGAAATTAAAACCTTTAAATGAAAAACCTAAACAAAATTTCAGTAAAAAATCACATTTTATTGCATTCCAGGCAAACGAGCGAAATCACAGACAGGAGCTGAAATGGCTCTAATTTGCATGATTGTGTTTGTGAGCTTTCTGATTTGGCTATGTAATTGGTTGAAATTTTAAGTTATGCATTCAATAAGACTTGCCTTTATTGGGGTAAATCGTCAGAGTTGATGCAGAATTAACACCGATGAATACAAGTTGCCATACATTCTTCAAGATATCACACAAACCAATATCTATTTGTAAAAGCTATTATAAACACTTTATTTATAATTAATCATTATAAAATATTCATCTGTAACATATTACAGATACAAAAGTAAATTCAAGGATATATTCTAACAAAGGTGAGTTGAATCTTAAATCAAGTTATTGAAATTTTTTCAAGCACTTTTAGTAATCCATATTTTTCTTACCTAATATCACAATAATAATCACTTGCCTATGTTTATTCATATGGTCCCTCTGATTATTGCACATTTGTTATTTTAAAACTACTCAAAAGAAACAATTACAGTGGTGCACTTTATTTAGAATTTTTAAACATTTTCAAATCTTTAAGATTTGTGAAGTGTTGCACCAAAGAGGAAGATTTAGTCTTCCAGTCAATTCAGAAATTACATAAGTCACTCAATTTTTCTTGCATATTTGTATTTTAAGAAAATTTTGATGGCTTTTAAATTTATTTATCTCAAAATGTTCCTAAAATGGCCAATTTCATCACCTATAATTTACTCTGCTGGGCCTTCATAGCTTGCATGGCATAGTTGAAACTATTTGCTGAGCTAAGCCAGGCTCCTCCATCTACCACCAGGCAGATCCCAGTGATCCAGGATGCAGCGTCACTGACCAGGTATACTACAGCATTTGCTATCTCCACTTTTTCTCCTACTCGTTGTAGAGGGATGTCCATGAACCTGGCTGCTGCCCCAGGTGCGTTACCACCTTTGATAAAGCATAATAAAGTTATTTGTACCTATGAGGAAGCATATATTTTTCTAAATGTTTGGGAAGTTTTTATTGATCTTTGCCTGCTTTACTTTTTAATCACCTGTACAGTTTTTTTTTCTTTAATAAGGTAGGGGGGGGGGGGAATCAACAAAACAAAATCTGAATAAAATCTGAATAGCAAAGATAAAGATAATGCCTCACATTGTTCTCAAAAATTACTACAAACTGAAAATTATATCTGATTCAATCCTAACAACATTTGGACATTTGAAATAAAAAATAAAATATTTTATGGAATGCAAACAGCCTGGCTGAATACAGAGTAAGGAATTGATAATAATGCACCATCTCCATTCTTACCAAGTTTATTAAAGCCTAAAGTATCAGCAATAGGACCTGGTGCCACAGATACCACCCGTACCTTGTCTCTACCCCACTCACATGCCAGATGTTTGGTCATAGCATCTGGAAGAAATTTACTTCAAATATGCATAAAACTTCTGTTGGTTTACTAAAAATGACTAAATTATGATCATAAGTTTTTCTTAAAAATACATTTGAACTCAAATTTTTGCAATAAAACCCAACCAAATGCCACCATATAATTTCAAACAGTATGACCTAAAAATAATGAAGGGTATCATTTCATATTTCCCAAAAAATGATACCTGAATGGGTATTTTCTGCATTCTTACTGTACTATTCATTACATTGATCATTTCAGCAACTCATTTAACTGCACATCCAAAAGTAATGCGCCATACTTTACTACATCATTTGGGTTTTTTTTTACGAAATGGCCAGGCTGATAAGTATATAGGTCAATTTATGACCAGAAAATTGAAGAAGGGGCAGTTTAAAAAGTATTTTATGGGTGATCAGGTGATTAATTTGGTTATGCCATAAAAGAAACAAGTACCTGTATATGTGGTTCATTTGTTTTGAAGGGAATCTCTTCAAATGTAACTTTATGGGTAGGAGACACTACAGCAGGAACAACATTTCTCAACAGATTTAAACTCAATTTTTGGTAAATGTGGTTTTGTTACAAATAATATGTAAAAATTGTTCCTATTACTAGTGAAAAGAAAACAATCCAATTTCATAAAACATGCAGTGTCGACCAACCTATTGCAGCCTTGGCTGAGCCTGCGTGTGTCTGGAACACCTGGCCCTTGTAGTGAAGAGTGGCAGTAATGTTTACAATAACACCTCCATGGTTCTGAAAAAAAAATGTTATGAACAGTTTTTGGACTTCAAAATATCAAGAATATTTTCTCAAAATTTCAACTCAACCACTACTAGATTCTTGTCACTCAGATTTAAAAAAATCATCTTATTAACTAAGTTAAACTGAAAAAAAAAATTAAGTAAATAAAAGATAGTAAAAACATAAAAATACATGAAAATATGTATTTTCTGAAACAAATTTTTACTAACAAAACTCAATTTAATGTTCACTTTTTCAAACTGTGACCTACAAGCATATTTTACATTTAACCAAAACTACCCAAAAAATTTATTTTTCATCAATTTACACCAAAAAGTCCATAATTTCTAAATGAGACTAAACTGTGTGCAGCATTCATAAAATGATTAAACAGTATTTTAAACCCATGTTGGCATACCTTCATACACTTGTCATAAACTGCTTTTGAAGCGTAGAAAGTACCATTAGCATCAATGTCCATGACAGTTTTAAATCCATTGAATGAAAGGCTACTGGCTGGACAGAGGAAATTACCAGCAGCACCTGTATATTGCAATCTTAATTATAAACATGTCATTAATATCATAGCAGGGAGTTTTCATGCAAATGGAAAAAATTTGAATTTTAAAATTAATGCATTTAACTTAGAGATAAAACTTTTAATTGATAAGTTATTATATGTCTACCCTTATTATAATGGTATAACTTACTATTAACCAAAATATCGATCTTCTTGAAAGTCTGCATGGTCAGGTCCACAGCTTCAACAATTTCTTGTGGCTTGGAAAAAAATAAGCAGATATTATCTCCCAGTTTCTGATATTTGGCCTCTATAGACTACCTGGCATCTAAAGATAATCTACCACTACTTTCCATATTACAAATGATTTTTTTCTTAACTAAACAAAAAGTGAAACAACTGTTCAGTATGTTCTCACCTTTCTAACATCCATCTTTATTGGAAGACATTTCCGTCCGGTTGCATCTTCCAATTTCTTGGCAGCTCTCTGAAGTCTGTTTAAATCCCTACTGGCTATGACAGCATTGCAACCATGCCTACAGTGCATCATGATGTAGTATTTAGTTTTCATGACAAAAGGGGCATATGCTGCTTAAAAGGAAATCATCCATAAATTAGTTAGAGTGCACAGATATTTATAAGGTCACATACTGTAGCTATTCTTACCTCATTAATATCTCTGTTATGGTAAAACCTATACCGCTACCTCCACCAGTCACAAATGCAACCTTATCCCTACAAAACATTTTAAACTTCTTTTCATTGTACAAAAAATATGCATACATGAATTAAGAGAATTTTTATCATTAGCAAGATGCTAAACAATGTTCCATATACATAAAGCATATGGGTAAGGTAGTTTATAGGCATGTGAAGCAGCACTTCTTCCCATAGCAGAAAGATGGTATCAGGCATTTATCATTAGAAGAATGATAATACAATTAAGGTTCATTACCAACTTTTAAAGTGAACATAAGAAATTTAATAGATGGTTGAATTTAATACATATTAGTTATTTTAACAAAGACTAAAATATTTTCTTTTTCCATTCATCTGTGATGTCAGTGTAGGAAAAGTATGGGCAAACATCCGACTGGGGGTGGGGGGTGGGGCGGGTCCACCTTCAGGGCTCTGCCTCTAAAAATTGACAGGTCGGAATAAGGGTTCTCTGTTGTTTTTCTCCCGTTTATCTTCATAGTTTTTTTTTCTTGAGCTACTTTTTTCACTTCACTAATATTTTAATTCTGATTTATTTAATATCAATCAGGATATGACCGATATAAATTTTGATCCAATTCTTGAATTTGAACTTTGTATTAAGAATCAGTCCATGAACGTAGCGTAGACTTCATGAAGATCCATTTGAATCACTTTGAAAGGCTCGTATCTAACAGTATAAATAACAACACATAAGTAACCTTAGCAAGTCTCTCTGAAAAACATATGCATAATTTTGTTCCACGGAGGATTCGAGGTTGCCTCCTTTTGCTGACATCTTTCCGTGCTGACAGAGGTCAAAGGTTGGTCTGGTCAGGTGCTTTCGTTTTAAGAAAAATATTTACTAAAAACGAAAGACTATAACGCCTATCAAGTGAGAAATCAGCTGCACACACACATAAATTTAGTCTACGAAACAGAAAAAATATAGAAAATAGGAAGGTTATTGATAAATATTTTTTACGGAAAAGCACGAAGGCAATGACCTACATCCGGGCTTGTCAAATATTTTCAAAATGGTGGTAGTCAAATGCCGAGAAGTCTAAATGGAGCGGTACATTACCTTGTTATTTGGATGTTTAGGAGTCTGATCGTCAAAGGAGTAATACATTTAGTTAGTTGATGTACCCAGAAGAATTCTGCTTGTGTTTGTATTTTGAATTTTTCTAAAATATCGGATAAAACAGTAGGTAAGTGAGCGTTGCTATAGTACACATTCCCGCTGTTCGAGTGATGATGGCACTAATGCGAAGTGACACTGACAGTGACATATTATCATTTCATAACTTCCATAGGCATGGCACAACTGTTTATAACAATATATCATACACTTTAATCAATCAGATTGATTGTTTCTTACGTGCTTTAAAGTAAATTTTGGTTTCTATTTGTCATTATTTTCTGAAATTTATTTCTGCAGATTCTGGTTAAATTATGGTCGAATGAAAATTTCAGTGAAACATGTATGGATTTTGGAAACAGTTAAATTTTTATTGTGGCCTAAAGAAACTCTTAAATGTTTGTGATATATTTGTAGATAAAATCTCAATTGTCCTTCATATGAAACTGGTGTGGCAACAGTTCTGTTTCTCATTGTTAAATAATCTTTATAACATTGAAAAAAATAATTGAAAAGTTGAAGAAAAACTGAACAAATAGATTCGTTCATCTTTCATGGTACAGAGAAAACACTGGGTTTCAGGTAGAAGATGCCTGTGTACTTTGATCTCAAAGTGCACTCCACACCTGGTGGTGCCAATGCTGATATTCAGTGGCATAAGACAAATCCACTGTTAGCTGTTGCTTCATACAACCAAACAAAAGGAGGATTTGTCAATCTCTATCACGATGAAGTAAGTCATTGAAAGATGGTCCTTATAGGATAAAACAAAGTTAGAAGAGTGCAATGTTGCATGTTTCAATTTATTTGATGCAGGATATAGATTTATTTTTCTTACATCTTTGAATGAAGTAGTGCTTTATAGGTTTTAGTACTAACAAGGGAACAATTTATAATATTTGTTATCATTGATAATTATATAAATATGGAGAGTGAGGTTATTATGAAAAAAAAAAATGATTGCTGTAAATGAAATCTTTCAGTTTACCAAACCTTTAACCTGAATGTTGTAGAAACTTGAAATGAATGAAAATAGCTCAACATTAAAATAACAGAATTCCAACAAACTGCTCTGTGATCAGCATAAATAATAAATTGGCATAATAGTTTAAAGTGTCTTTAATATTTATGTAAATCATATTCCCAGGGAGAACACATCCCAGAGGCAGTACTTCAAAGGTCCCTGCCTCCTACTGTACTGGCTTGGCATCCCAGTAAGAAAGTAGTGGCAGTGGGTTGGGAGAGTGGAGAGATTCTCCTATGGAGTGAGCATGACAAGGAATTAAATGAAGCAATCCGCCTCCATAAGTCTGCAATTACTGTGTTAGACTGGAGCTCGAATGGATCAAGACTAGTATCAGGAGATGCAGTAAGTGTTTAACTTAATATTCCGTTTCTATATTGTTTTTCAATGGCTGGATTGTTTGCTGCCAAGGAGCGTTATGAGATTTATGGTCTTTTTATAAGGTCTGTCCATTAGTGCCAGAATGCACCCTATTATTTCTATGATGATTTTTAAAAATATATTGAAAGGATTCATTTTTTATTTTAACAGACTTTGCAACTGATTGGTTTAAGCATTTATGTTACAAAATTTCTTGTTTCTTACTGAAGATAGTCACTGACCAAACATATCAGTGGAGATATCAAATGGTTATCAATAAAAGATACTGTCAGTAAACATGATTACCACCCCATGGTTGTTCTGTCCATCTCATGTTTTATAGGAGATTGTGTTATTTGGTGGACTCAATGAGTTTATTGTTGCTACCAATTTTCTAAACTTGTTGTTTTGAATTTTGAATTTAATTTTTGCCCATGTCAATCAGGTAAAGTAAATGTTTAAACTAACAAATGTTTGGAATTACGGTTTGTAAATGTTGCTCATATAGATCAAAGAAATATTCTAATTACTTTCAGAGTGGTTTTGTGATAGTGTGGAAAGTTGATCATAGAGGTCGCCTGCAGTCTACACCTCTGTGTCAACATAACCTGGAGGAAAGTCTCACAGCCTTGATCTTTAAACCACCACCTCCCACTGATCCAGCTATGTATGTTGTTTTCAGTACTGCATATAATTATTTTTTCTAACAAAATCCTTCTGCATTTCCACTGGGAAAAGTTTTAATTATAGTTAAAATGAATAGAAATTCTTTATTAGTAGATCTTCTTATACTTGTCATAATTATATTATAAATTATGTTTCTGTGGTGTTGTAACTTAAAAGTATTTCTAATATAGATGGGATAAAGAGAATATGGCTGTGGTAACAAGGTCACATGGGCTTGTCTCAGAAAAATAATTGGACTGAATCAATACTTGCATGAGCAGTGCAAAATCAACCCAAAAATGCAGTATTTCTCAGTTTTCTTAACAAAAGTGAAGGATTTTTCAGCAGTTTGTTAGTAATTTAATGTGCTATAGTGGGCTTAGCTTGCTGCAGATGCCATAACCTCTTTAAATGTTGGTGTAGAGAACATGCAGAACAAATATATTTCCAGAACATGAGGTACAACCTCAGGTATAAATCCTCATTCTGTAGGCTCAAATTAACTTTAGATAAATGGTGTATATAGCTAAATGTTTAGATCAGTGGATAGGAGAAATATATTTATCCTTTTTGCTTTCTGTCAGGGATATTAATGTCTTAGCAAGAGCTGCAGTCAATGGAGATGAAAATGCATTAGACATGTTTCAGTGGAGAAAGGGAGGAAAAAACAAAATAGTTAATCCTTACCTTGGTGGAACAGAGGCACTGGGGTTCTTTGTTGCAGGGGATAAGGGTATGTATGTCAGTTGATTTGGGGGTTTAATGTTTTAAAATATTGGTGCTTGGTGTGACACATTGGTTCCATTTATAATCTAATTAAATTAGCACTGATTCAAATAGATTTACTTACTCACATGACCAGATTGCCTAGGTAGAATGGGTGCCTCTTTGAATCTGCATTGTTGTCTCCAGTTATCTTTTAGAATAATTCTGGTCTAGTTATGAATGCGGCTACAAAAACCATTGTGGAAAAACAGTTTGTGTATAAATTGGTATTTGGTTAAATATTAGTTGCTATAACAAGTAATAATGGTTGATTTGTATAAACAATTATTTATACAGAAAAGGACCTTTGTTGTAGTTGCTGTGGTTGACATTAAGCTTATGAGTTTTCCTCACCATATTCCAGGCGGTGTTTATTATGTCAATGAAAATGGAAAGTCTGCTCAAGCTTTTCAAGCTGACGATCCAATCAGAAAGCTGATATATTATGAAGAAAAGAATATTTTGGTGACTGTGACAGATACACTTATGTTATATCAGCATTCAGTCAATCAAGAAGGAGAGACTAAAGAAACCATGAAGGTGATAATTTCATTATTTTACTAGCTTATATATTTACACATAAAACATTTAAGTATTATGTTTTTAAATATATTAGCAATTTTAGCTTGTAATCAAAGTAATAAGAAAAGAGAAGCATTTAGTAATACATTGAAAATGAGATAATTATTATTTTATATAAAGCATGTTATATCCTAAGAACATGTGTATGATAAGCTTATGTTGAATAACTGGTATGTTGCATGGCTGGTATGCAAATATACAATACAACTTTTAATATTGTCATATTTTTCAATTATTTCTACCAGGCAAAACTGAGTGGTAAAATGGAGGAACCAGTCATAATTTTAGCTGGAAACGGGGTATTGGCAATGGCTACTGGTGAAACAGTTCTAAGAATGTGGGATCTAGAACGAGATGAGAACTTTGTCCTGTCTCTAGAAGGCCACAATGGATACGACCCCACAGAGGTCATCAACTGTGTAGCTTACTGTGCTGAGAAGGGTTAGTGTGTGTTTTCTTTGGTAGGAAGTGGGAGGGGACTCACTCTTGTAGATACATTTGTTACACCATGAAAATAAAGCATCCTATGTTCTATGTTAAAAGGAAAAAGTACCCTAGTTGAATTGGATTTTAGTTCATAAGCTAGATCATATTCATTATAGTTGCAGATAATGTCAGTAAGAAGCAATGTTTAAGACATATTGTTGTTTGTCAGATGTTATTTAAAGCAAACTCTGTGCAGTGCTACAAAGGTTTTAGAGTAACATTGATGGTGTGTGTGTCATCTGTTATAGGTATCCTTGCTGGTGGTACTAGCAATGGTAACATTGCCATGTGGAAGTATTCCACTGAAACAGACAGTGGAGCAAGCACACAGGAAGCTGAAGCAACATGGAAGCTTCAGGCCCCTTCAAACCTTGATGGAGTCATAACACAGCTTAGAGTAAGCAAATCCTCTTTCACTAGCAACAATAATGTTTGTTTGCTTTTTTGAAAGAATTTTTAAACAAATTAAATTCTGTTTTTCTATTGTTGTATTCAGCAGGGTTTGATTGATTTCTGAAAATTCATGTCACTGTTGTTTAATTGTAGGAAGTTTACTTTTTATTTGCAATTTCCCTGTTCATATTTATCATGGTTATGATATGTGAGGTGAAACTTAAAGAGGCATATTTAACATATGTTTACAGTGGGGTACCTCTAAGAACCTTCTTGCTGTGAATGCTGTGGAGAATGTGTATGTTCTCAGTGAACAGGTGATGAGTGCACATTTCCAGGACCAGGTAAGATTAACACTATTGAAATATTACAGCAGCCACACTTGTGATTTATGTTGGCTTCTGTATATATTCATTGTAATTAACATGACATGTTACATCCTTTGTAGATAATGAAATTATGGGCCCTGCTCAAATTTTGCAAAAAAGAGAAAATAGCATTTAACTGTTCACCACTTGACCTAACACAGATAAACATATTTTCATATATTTATATGGTACATTAAAATTTTTACCTCCTCAGACATCCGTAGTTCAGACAGGTCCATGTCAACTGACGTTTGATTTCTTTGGATCAAACACTTATCAAGATCTCAAAACTGATATTCAAGTCAAGGGAGTTTTTACAAACAAGGTAATAATTACATCTGTATTTTGGACTTAACTTTTAATGACATTTCTGGAAAAAGTTTTTGTATGATACTTAACAGTCGATGTTATTTTGTTGTCTTATTCACATTGGCGAGCATAGTTGCTCATGTCATATTTTTGTAATGCCAAACAGATTTCTGAAAATTTGTACACAGAAAGTGAAAGTTTAATTTTAATGAAAAACAGTGATTTTAGTTAAAACTATATAAACATTACTTACTTTTCATCAACATGCTGATGCACACCATTTCCTCTTCTTTTAATGCTTAATGTTCTACTTCTAGGACCATGTAGCAGCTTGGAATGGAAAGAAATTAGTGGTATATGAGTTTTCATCAGACAAATCATTGATAAAGGCATCAGGTAAGTATACAGAAGGAAAACTAAACTATACTAATATCATAGGAGAAGTGGCACTGATGTGAAAAAAAATTATATAAGAGTAAAGTGAAAGTAAACACCTTACAAATAACTTAAAATGTAAATTAAATTTCCATGCTCTTTAATTTAACTATTTTTAAACTTTTGATGTTACACCATCTTATATATTGTCTAAGGATATTGAATTTTGTTAATATTTTCATAGAAAGCACTTTATGAATATCATGCAAATGGGAAGACTTTGAGAGGAAAGGAAATTATCTTTTCATCCCCCAGGTACGTTCAACACAGAGTCTACCCTGGTGTGTTTATATGAACAAAATGTTTACACTGTGGAACCTGGCAAGGTTCAAGTACGCACATTCCAGGGCACAGTGAAACAGCTGCTGAACTTCACAGAGGTGGAAGGGGACCCTGTCTGCATGGATATCTGCACTAACTTTCTTGTGGTTGGCACAGACAAGGGGACAGTGAAGGTGTTTGACTTGTCACGAAGGTGAGTTTGATATCAGCAATAATGTTAAAAAGGTAAATTGTTTCTAAAGAAACTAAACATGTTTTTCTACCTAAGAGGCCTGATGCTTATATGAGAAACAGTAAAAGTCCATGTCACCATATCAGCTATAATGTTTCATTTTGCTCTAACAGATACAGGCATTGTAAAGAAAAATGTATGAAAAGAGTTACATGATGATGGGTAATTACTTTGTTCTTAGACTATGTAAAGTTAACAGATTTTTTATTATTCAACAGAGAGGCAAAGCAGCATGGTAACCCTAAGTCTCTACCAGATGTTATTCAAGGTTTTGGTTCTTTAGTCTCCGCAAAGTGCAACTGCAATGGCTCAAAAGTCAGCTTTATCTGTACCAAGGTAAAAGAAACATGCTAATATAAAATAAGCCTTCTAAGGCTGCGGAAGAGATCACTTATTGAAGTTTTACTCTTTTAAAAAGTAATCAATGTCTGTGACTTTGGTGTTAAAATGCACCGTGTACCATGTGTACCATAGTAGTTTTATTTAGATACAGTCTGGTATGTACATACCTTACATTCTGTGCTGTACTTCATATACATGAAACTGCAATGAACAAATAAGAGAACAGATAAATACTTTATTTGTGATCCCAGGCTGATGGTTTACCAGACCCCAAACTGTACGTGTGGGATATAGAAATGGACACAATCCAGTATTTCAACTTTGAGACAGGGAGGGGAGAACAAGATGAATTATTTGCACAGTCCACAGCTGATGGAGAGGAGGCATCAGAGGTTGACAGGTAAATGTGAAGCAGGAATAGTTCAAGCTGTTCCAAACTAAGTGAATCACACCAAGACCGAATCAAAGTTTTTTTATATATTGTATGCAGTTTATTAATTATTTTCATTGTTTATTTGTGAACAGTGACAGGTCTAGAGGAAGATAGATACTTGTCTTTAAAACAATTACATGTAGAAAATCTGCCCCTCCACACACATATGGATTTGTGTATTGAACTGTAACACATAATTTCCCAGTATCATGATTAACTGGGTTTACATTTAGATTCAGAACAAATCATTTACATATGATATATTTCCCAAATTTTTAAACACATGTAAGGATAGTTAGGGTTATAAAAGTAATATTATTGATCCATCTTACTTGTAGAGGTAAAGCTCAAGCTGCACATGACATAGCTCTTCATTACCCCGTCTCTCAGTACTGGGATCCTCAGGAAACAAAGCTTGTAGTCTGTGAAACCAAGTCACTGCAGCAACCACAGAAAGACACGGAAAACAAAGAAAAGGAGGACGGATACAGGAAAAGATTTGAAGCCAAGCAGGCAGCTATTAACTTGGTAAGTTACAGTTGCTATTTGGCCACTGTGAAAAAAGCTGCATTGTATTGTACGGCATTTATTTATATTAAGTGGTGTCCCGCAATGGTAGTGAAGTATATGTACTCATTTCTTCAAGCTAAATTCATCTGTGTATAAGATCACTGTGCACTTGCCATCCACACCACTCCATTCATATATAGAATTACAGATATTAATCTTTTCATCCACTTTGACATGACAAGAGTGCCTTCAAATTCTTTCTATTATGCTGTGTAGAAATTGATTTCTTATTTTACCTGCAGACCAAGAGCATGGCAGTGTCTTTGTTTGTGACACCTGAGAATGGAATTCTGATGCAGGACAGTTTTGTCATCAGCTCAGCCTTCAGTGCTCTGGTGGGAGTGGAAGTGCCATATTATTTCTTTTCAAAGAAGGTAACGGAGAAACACATATTTATCAGTTACAGAAAAATCACAAGCACATTTGTGTGTGCAAATTAGCTTGTTGAGGAAGGCTTTAATATAAGCATACCCACGCGGATTTGAAAAAGTCACATAATTTCAGATTATTAGTGTTGACTTGCAAAGTTATAAACCTGTCTTAGATGTAGTTCATGTAAGAGTTGTCTGAATATATATTTGAAGAAACATCTTTTGTATTTAAGTAAATTCCTCAGTCACTCCTGCCATGTTGTAGTACAAACACATGTGCAAACTTACTGTAATATTTAAGAATTTGCTAACAAAGCACAACACCTGTTTTCCAGTCAGAGGACTCTGTTGAAGAGACCACATTTACACCCCGTCCACAAGTGGCAGCTTCAGCTAATCATCTCAAAATGTTAGCCGGGCGCACGATGAGGGATTTCATAGGGCTGGAACACAGTGATAAGAATGCACGGGATGCCATGCTGAACTTCAGCTATTATCTCACTATTGGGAACATGGATGAAGCCTTTAAAGCTATCAAGTTAATCAAAAGGTACACATTTTCATGCAGTTTTAATCAAAAGAAAACTTATGTTTATTTGACTTAGATAACAACTTAGGTTTTTGATAGGGTTTTGACAAAAATAATTTGCAAGTAACACTGTACTTCAAATTTCTTGTGATAGATAAGCATCAGCATTAGTTTTTATCTGTTTTGCATGGTCAATTCAATATTAATATGAAAAACTTCCACAGAAAAGAATATATTGTAGTTTAAAATATGCTGTCATTGCCATAGTTGATTTTAATTGGAATAATCAAGAAACAAATTTTATACAGAATTTTAAACAAATGGCAAGAGATTGGAATGAAAAAAAATAGAGTAGGATATAACCAGAAGCCATTACAGCCTTTCTCATAAACCAAATTTTAGTGAGTCAGTCTGGGAGAACATGGCCAAGATGTGTGTAAAAACAAGAAGGCTTGATGTAGCTCAGGTGTGCCTAGGAAATATGGGTCATGCAAGAGGAGCCAAAGCTTTAAGAGAGTCCATGAAGGAGCCTGAGATAGATGCTAGAGTGGCAGCTTTAGCTCTACAGTTAGGACTTTTGGTATGTTAAAATACATTCCTATACCTTGTTGCTTCCAGTATTTTCTTTTGTCTACCTATTTTAGGTATTGAAAGGGCAATTCTTGTGAACATAATACTTATATTCTAAAAAATATTTCATAACTTTTCTTATTTTTTTCTCTGTCTATAACTAGTAATTATCTGTCATGGCAGCAGTGTGTAATGTGCTGTATTTACAGAATTTTTGCATTTGTACATGAATATCATGTTTTGTAAAACCCTTTGAATTCGTGTTTTGAAATCATGCCAAATGTCTTTTCTTTAGGATGATGCAGAAAGATTGTTAAAGAATTGCAAGCGATATGATCTTTTAAATCAGCTGTATCAGGCCTCGGGACAGTGGAACAGAGTAAGTGTAATAATTTAATTATTGGTATGCATCAGGCATATATGACATTGTAAAAGTTTATTATATGACATATCTCACCAATTAATCATTAAATTTATATTTAGAGTGTTTTTTAATTCTTGTGTTTGGGTTTACATTTAATCTCACAATTCGGACAATGCTTATCCCACAGGCTTTAGAAACTGCAGAAATGTATGACAGAATTCACTTGAGGACAACTTATTACAACTATGCGAAGTATTTGGAGGCCAAAGGAGACATCAAAGCTGCCATTCCAAAGTAAGCCCCCTTCTTTAAAGGTGTCTGCAATCTTTATCAGTCATTGTATACAACAAGTATTTTTGAGAAAAGATTTATGTTGTAACTTGTAAGGCCTAGAATCTTGTTCAATTTATTCAAAGGTGGGATGCTCTTGAAATATAGTCATCATTACCTGTCAAGTCTTCTATTTGGTAAATGTATATGCTTGTCACCTCTGCCAAATGTACATAGGAATTTATTGCCTTTGAAGATATTTAAATTATTGCTAGTAATACAACTAATGTCTGTATAGTCTTGCCAAGTGGATCTTATAATGATGATGATGGTAATGATGATGATATTATGGTATAACTCCGCCATTATGTTCTTAATATCCAACCCATTTTTTTTCCAGCTTTGAAAAGTCAGATACACACAGGTTTGAAGTGCCAAGGATGCTGTTTGAAGAAACTTCTGAATTGGAAGCATACATAATGAGGACCAAAGACAAGTAAGCGCTTTTGTTTTTGAATTGTTTAATAGAATAAACGCTCAAAGAGAAATCTTAAGCAGTTGATTCTTGTTACTAGGAAGAAGTGGAATGACCTTTCAAAAATGTCTTATGAAATTATTTCTTTTCATCTGAAAAAAAACTTGAAGCACATTTAAAATGAGTTGTCCAAATGCATGTTATTAATTTAGATCATTTTCCACTTTACTGATAAATGGAAATAATGGTGTAATCTTTTCATTTCAGAGCACTGCGTAAGTGGTGGGCCCAATACATGGAGAGTACAGGGGAAATGGAAACTGCTCTTCAGTTTTATGAAGCAGCTCAGGACTTCTTATCACTAGTCAGGGTTTACTGCTACTGTGGTAACCTGGACAAGGTGGGGAATGTTTTGATTTTAATGTACTTGTATGTTACTGACAACTCACTGAATTAAAGAGAGTAATAAGAATATTAAAGGAACCATATTCCAGGCTGTAAACTTATGTTAGAAAAAAAATACAAAGGATACATTTTTCTTAGGCCCTCCATCACACATATCTGTCCTTAAATCTCCATTTTCTGCTATATATTTTCATAAAATGTACAAATTAAATCTTGTCTAAATATGAATAAGTTACTTTCACAATGAAAAGAAATTGATGTCACTAAGTATAAAATGAACTTCCATGTTTTTATCTTGATATAATTACTTGACATCCAGGCAGCAGAAATCTGCAATGAAACTGGTGACAGAGCGGCATGTTATCACTTGGCAAGGCAGTATGAAAACCAGGAGAACATCAGGGAATCCATCCACTTCTTCACCAGAGCACAGGCATATGGAAATGCCATCAGACTCTGCAAGGTATGGCAGTCATAATCTGCTAGGTATTTTAAATTGAAATGTTTAGATAAAGTTTGACAATGAAATGTTTCCTTTTATTCCTTTTCCATATCCCTGACTAAAAACTAATTAATGAATGCCAAATAATGATTCATGGAACATTAAAAATTAATGTCCACCTTATCATTAAAGACCATTTGTAATAAACACAAAAATTTCTTTGCAAAATTTAAGGAAAATGGCCTAGAAGATCAGCTGATGAACTTGGCCTTATTAAGTAACCCACATGACATGATGGAGGCAGCCAGGTATTATGAGGACAAGCCAGGGTGCCAGGACAAGGCTGTCATGCTGTACCATAAGGTAAGCAGTAGAGATGTGAATGGGTTGGTGAAGGGGAGAGGGGATGGCTGGGGAGCTGAGTCGTCTGGTGAGAGACAAACCAAGCTAAGCTCTCTCTATTATTAATTTTAATTTTTCTTCAAAACTGAAATGCTTCAGCCTTATTAGTTAGGAAACTGAAATTTTGGTGAAATGATCAAGAATGATATTCTCTCTACACTGGCTGATTAATTTAGTATTTATAAACTTCTATTGGAAATGATATTTGAGTTGGATGGGTAATTTCTTGGCTAGCTTTCACTTTTGTTTGTGATTATCATTTATAATTGTATCATGTTTGTTCCACATCATTAAACAATATACGGTCACTGACGGATTTCTTTTTACTTCAGTCTGGCAACTTCTCCAAAGCACTAGAGTTGGCCTTCACTACGAGGCAATTTGGTGCTCTGCAGCTCATTGCTGGGGACCTGGATGAGAAGACAGACCCTGAACTGTTACAGCGCTGTGCTGATTTCTTCATGGAAAATGGACAGAATGATAGAGCTGTGGATTTACTGGCAATTGGAAAGAGGGTGAAGTCATCTCATTTTATTGTTTCTTCACTTATGTTATATTACTTTTATCTACTGCTGGACCCTCACACATTTTGGTTTCTTTAGAAGTTCTGGTATTTTTATTGCAATATAATTAAAGTAAAACATTTCTGATACAGCCTCTCACATTTTCTTTTTCTTTTTTCTCTTTTTTTTTTTTTTTTTTTTTTTTTTTTTTTTTTTTTCTTTGGTTTTTGGAAA